AAGAAAAAAAAATACGCGGCGCATTTAATTCCAATTAGCCGCGCATCTGCCTACGTAGCCCAGAGCGCTTTCGAGGAATCCTCGCAAACCAGTCTCGCAATTGCGGCGAGATTTTTACCGGCCAAAGGAGCCGCTCACCTCTCCCGGGTTTCGCAACTATTTAAGGCCGGCTTTTCGTCTCGGCCGAGTCGCAACGATTCGACGCGGGCGACCCTCTTCGTCGAACCTTGGCTAAGAAAAATCCACCGTCCGAATTCTCGACAGAAAAATCCTACATCTTTCGCTTTTATCCCAATTTTAACCCCGGCGGTTTAAATCAACCGTAAAACCTTCACAAACGCGTCGTCCCCGACGAATCGCGATCTTCGGCCAAGAGAAATCTGCCGAGCAAATTTTCGCCCGAAGCTCCAATAAAAACGTTGCATGAAAAGAAAATCTATGTAGGTTGTCTCGGTTCTTCGCGAATGCCACTCGAATTTTATCCCATTATCGGCCTATTTTCCCTGCCTAGTCCCCTTTAAACGGAATGCCCCACGTAAATGCGATATCCTCGGCGAGTCGAAATAAACTAGATTCCACGCTGGCCGAGCGAACGCGCCCTAAACGCGACCGAGAATCCACGTCGGTCGGTGGAAGAGGAGAAAAAAGGGAGAAGGGAAGGAAGAAAGGCGCACACCAAGCCGCGTACCTGTGTACGAGGCGACTCTTCGCCTCGTACTGTCCCCAGGGTACTCGAGGAGAATAGGACGAGGAGGGGTCCCCGACTCGTCCGCGGCACTTTGTGAAGTGCCTCGGATTCCTCGGGATGTGCGCGTTTATCGCGGCCGGTTACGTTTCCTAATTTAAATAATTTACAATGCCGATAGGGAGCCGCAGATAAGCGGCTCGCGGGCGTCGCGAGCTAGAGAGCCGCGCCATTGTGCCTAGGCCCTGGGAGCACGTGGGCTCGAGCTCGTCTCGTCGTCCTTTCGTTGACTCTCCTTCGGAGTCGTTGAAACGCGTCGCCGACTCGTTTTCGCCCTCTATCGCCTCGTTCCATCGTTTGGCCTCCGCGGGATTCCTCGTATCAAAAGCGGGGATGAAAAATTAAGAAAGAAAATTAATAACCGCGGTGGTTCTACTGCCTGATGATTCGAGGGGAAAAGACACCTATACGCGTTTACAGGGGGGAGGGGGGCAAAATTCATATACATGGTTCACACGTCGCTATCCTTGTCGAAAGTGGAGTCGAAAAGTCCTGGACAATTTTTTTTTTTTTTTTTCAGTGCACGGTTTGTCCGGAATAATTAATAGAAAAAAAAAAAGAAAAAATTGTCCAGGGATCTGCGACTCCACTTTCAAGAAGGAATGACGACGGTGTTATCCGTGGTCAGGAATTTTCTTGTGTACTGTATGTATTTATTTTTCCATTCGCGATAAAGCTTTCGTCGGGGCAAATTTTAAGGGGATGCCTGTGGAAAACGCGTCGGCGGTCCCCGTTATCCGGGTTCTCCGCAAAGGAAGACGTAACCCGGCGGGGGAAAAGCACGTCGATTATGCGTTGCCAATCGGTTATCCGGTGGAGATAATTTGAGCGCGTATAACGGCCGACCCGGTGTCCGCCTCTCTGTAAATGGCATCGATAATATACCGACCGCACTCGCGCGAGCCTCTCGCTCCTTGTAGCCCCCACGGTCTGGGTATTACACGGGCTTTCGCGTTCCGGTAATTTGTTTTGCAAACGAGCTCTAAGGCAGGCCCGATAAGACCCAGAGCACCCGACGACGCGTGTCATGCGAGCCCACGTCGGAATTCGCGCCGGGCCCGGGCCGGACCCATCGAGCCAGAAGACGCCGACACCGGTCCCGGGATCGGGCCGAACCGATAACCCGATAAGGCCGCGAATGATCGATAATTCCACCCTCTATCGATTTTTCTCGCCTACATTGGGGGGGGGGGGGGCACCGAAGATCCCCTCCACCACTCACCGGGGATAAAAGGAACGCTCGCGTGCAAGGGTAGGACCGAGTGCATCTCCTCGGTGCAGGTCAATTATTTTTTTATTTTCACTTCTCGACCTCGAGACGAGGATTTTTCGGAGATTAATTCATCAGGCAGACAGGGGGTCGTCCGGTTCAATTTCGCAAGGGCCGAATTATGCGGTCGGCTGGGACAAATCGGCGAAATCGAGGGGAAAAGCGTAACGAGGCTGTATCGCGCGGCGCATGCGATGCATTGTACTTTATCTCGCGGGTAAACAAGCCTTGCACCAGGAAAGGCCGAGTTACGTAAGGTTAATTGCGGTCGTTCAGGTTGTCGGCGTTGAGCCCGCCCGGTACAGGCGGCCGCGGTCGCCGCTGCACTCGCCGCTGCACTTCGCCGCTGCACTTCGCCGCTGCACCCGGCGATGCAGCTCCCGAACGCCGCTATCGAGATCCCTATCGAAAGGCCTCGATCTCGCCCGATAGCCGCGAGACCGACTCAAGGCTCGCGCGAATTGTCGCAAATCGTCGCGCCTCTCCTGCCAGGGGCCGGAAGTGGAACGTCCCCGTGGGTGGAGGGATCGAGAACGGAGGCTGCGCCGTGGTCCATCCTCGCGTAATCTCGCGAGACTTCATTTCGTATTCCTACCCTCGAAGACGAATTCCTATAAAGTTGTATTAAATTATACCAGATAAATCGAGGTCTCCGATTGGCGTCGCAGGGCTTTCCCTTCCCACGTGTGCACTCGATCCGGGGAAGTGTGTCGAGGTATTTTCTTTAATTGTACGAATGCATCGTCGACTCGCACTCTCCTAGGAGGAATGACCTAAAGCCGGCGTCTCCGCAATCCCACGACCAGGATTGAACCGAGTTCCGTGATTCCATCACGAGGTCGCGTTTGTCGTCGAAGTAGGCGAGCTGTTGCGTTGGGAGCAGTCCAACGTACGCTCACCGTGGGCGTATGTAATCTGTTTCCCTCGGAGTGCGTGTACGCCTGCAAGGATGTGTGCACTTTTCTTCCCGTGTTGTCCCCCTCGCGCGGGGAAAATGGCCGCTCGAGGCGGAACTTCTCGAATCGTTGCAGAAATCGTCGAGGTCGCGGCGACGCGCGTTGGAGCGATCGACAAGTCGCTCCGATGGGGCCTAGGGCGTTTCCAGATTTTGCGTTTATAGATCCGTCGACGGGGACCACTTGGACCGGGCTTTTGGGACCTTCACGGGGTCTGGATTCTGTTATCGTCCTGGACCACCGATGGGCAGATGGATTCTGGCACTCGGACGCCTCTCGACGCCGTGTAGGCCGCGTCGGCATTCGTGGCGCGCAAGATACGGCCGACTCTCGGGTGTTGTATCATAAATTACTCCGATACCGATGCCCCACGGCTTTCCGTTGCTTTCGTTCGATCAAATCCCTCGTGCACGGCTAGTTAGTAAACTGAATTAAACGGTCTCCTCCGAGAGATATATCGCGTTTATCGCGGGGGAATTATTCCGACCGGCGCGAAGTAATCTCTCCATTAACGCTCCGAAGCGTTCGGGAGAGGATGACGCCCTAAAGTTGTCTGGACCGAGAAAAATGCCGTATGAGATCTCCCGTTAAACTTCCGAGTCACTTGATGGTAATTTACTTACTTTGCATATTTTATCTTCCATTAATTTGGGAACGTTTCGCCGAGGCTCGCGAGGTGTCGTTCTTTCGGTCCTGGAATAAGCACCGCGGTTGAAAAACGGTACCGGTCGTTAATGCCCCCTGAAAACGACTTTACGTATTTTCGGCTTCGAATCCAATTCACCGAAATATAATTAGCGCTTATGACTAACCGCGGGGCTGCGTCTAAGTTTAGGGACGGGCAATAATATCGCCGCATTACGCAGGTGGTCGTTTTTCGCCCCTCGCCGAGTCGGCCGTGACATTATCACGAGATCGAGTTGGGTCCACTTTGAAATGCTCGAAATATCCAATTTTCAGGCGAAAGGGACTCTCTTGTTCAGGAATAACGAAGGAGTACTTGATTTGGTCGGAAGGCGACCGACAGAAATAATTAATCGCACGCCTCATCTTGATAGGCCTCTAGCCGAGTGATAAGGGTAAAGTTGGTTTATGTGATAAGTCCGATGATCCTCCACATTTCCTGCCGAAACGAAGACGCAGATCCTACGGTTTCGAGGCGCCTCACAAAGCTGCATCGGCCAAAGTGCATCAGACGGAATGCATCTTTCGGGATCCCATGGTGCCTTGGGACGAGACGGGGGTTGACTGCACCCTTTCCTTACGTGCATCCGTGCCGAGGGAGTCTCTCGCTATGTCGGGAGGAAATATTACACCTCCGGCTGCGCGTCTCGTCAAAACAGGGAAACAACCTAAGAAAGAGTCACGATACTCACTCGCCGACATCGGGAGCACGCGATACGTCCCGGTTGCACAATGCACTTCTCTCCGTCCCTCTCTCTGTTACTCTCAGTGTACATAGGTACACGTATATTATACATCCCTCTCCGTCTCTCTCGCTCCGGCCATCTCACTCGCCAATCCCGGATGCAATTCCGGAGGGACTTGATATCATTCCAATTAAGGTCGACGTATTTATCTGCCCGGGTCAGACAGATATTTCAAAAGTGGCCGCCATTATTATTCGCCCACGCTCGAGTTGCCAGAAAAGATTGCGCCCGACACACCGAGGGGCCCCCTCGGCACCAAGTGACAATGACGGTGCCGGGCCCTCGGGCCATTGAAGCTAGCACCCCCACCACGTCTAGAAGAACGGACTTTCGGTCGATTTTTATAGACCATTTGCGGATCCTAAAATAATTAAAAAATTTGACTCCTACTTTTCACGAAAATGTCGATTTTTTTTTTTGAGTGGGCGTGCTAGCTTCAGTATGCCCATGATCAGTCCGTAAATATGGACCGTCAGTTCATAATTCTGGACATGGCCGGGGTGCTAAGTTTAATGACTTCAAGCCACCTCGTCGATGATGATCTTCTTTTCGCAAGAGATCCACCCTTGGCATGCACTCTGACCGGATTACCGTTTTAGGTGCTGCTGAAAAATGCTGTCGAGGTCCAGGTGACGACCGAATGGAGGTCCTGGAGAACGGAGGGGTGCAAAGGACCCCGCTGAAGGGTCCTTCGAAACGAACGAACGAGCTGAGGATCGTGGAGTGCAACGACGACGGAGTCGACGCGGTGGACGACGCCTCGGCGACCGATAAACAGGACATGGACCCGTACAGGGAACTGGAGCTGTACCTCGCCAAAGTGAACGTGAGTCGATGAATTAATTATTTCATAAACACTTCCCCCTTATCGTACAATAATATCTTTTAGATATATATATACCCAGGGAGGTTATAAAGGACCTACTCGTAAACTGTTAAGAATCCTTTATTGTAGAACTTCGAATGAACAAATATCGAGTTATGTAATCGACCCTGCAACTTTTTTTCATGGAGCCTCTCCAAGATCATATGATCACTATACTCGGTTTCAGCGCCCAGTTGATACCGATGATAAGGTACCTTCGTGCTCGTCCGGAGGGTGGGGTCCTACCTTTTCCTTAGCTTTACGATTTTCCACAGTCTCGCGTTAATTAACGACCGACGTCTGTCGCGGGGCGCGTTATAATATCGCCCCGGACACGCGGCTCGGTGTGGGTTTAAATTGGCGGGCATTTAAATCTCGGTGATCGATCGGGCACCTCTAATCGTCCAGGTGGACGTCGCGCGTAATCGATGCTATCGGCTTCGTTATACAGGACTTTACGTTTCGCGGCAAACGGCCGAGTCGTTAACGGCGACTGGTTGGCATCCGGTTGCGTGGCCGCAAATCATCTCGCACCCGTGGCCAAGGGAGAGCGATCGGGTTATCAGTCGTCGATACCGAATCGAAGAGGGTCGCGTTCGATCGGCGCCGAGACGTCGCTGCGTCGGGCGCTGCGTCTCCGCATCGACGTCGGGCACTGTAATAATATGTATGCAGGTTCATTTTTTATCGCCACCGGCGCAGGGTCGCGCCCGTTAATTCCGTTTCGTCGAGTGGAGGCGCGCGATAAGCGTCACCCGCGACTCGGCGTCGCAATTGCGGCTAATTGCGCGAATTGCGCAAATTAGCCGATTAGGGCCTCGGGTTTTCGCGGCACCGGCGATCGCACGCACTCGGCCCGAGTTTCCCACGTATGCAGATGGCCGTTAAAGTCATCTTCTGGGACTGCACTGTACGAAGTTAAGGCCCATAAAGCTCGGTGAGTTAAACGAGTCGCCGGGGCTGGACGGGTCCCCGTGCTACCACCGAGCTCTTTACGATTACGCGATCTCGGTGACGTCGAAAACCCACTTCCTGGAATGAAAAAAACACCCCGGGGATTTTAGAGACCCGGGAGGAGCCAGGGTTAATGCACCGATCGGCGACCAGTTCGGAAACGCGGACGGGACCACCTTGAGTTTATGCCCTCGCATAATGGGATCTGTTAAACTCTTTATCGCGTTACCGCCAAGACACGAAAGGTCGCGAGGAAAGAAGAAAAGGAGTGCACACTTTTTAGGCCCCGCGGGGCCCAGACGTGGCCGAATCTTGGACTCGATGTCGAGCTCTGGAAATGAAGATTCAATGGCAGTCGGTGGGTTCATATCCTATTGGTAAAAGTCCCGGGAGGTCAGGACGCCCAATCGGGTCGTGATCTCTGGAGACCAGTTAGTCTCTACGTATATATCAGCACTCATTGCCCAATCATGAGTTCATCGCGGCTCGATTCGGTCGCGATCCGATCGATGGCCGTGAATGTGGCCGATTCATGGCTGACTTTATAGAACCTCGAGGAAGAGGTCCAGGAAGAGGGTCGGAGATCTTTCCGAGACACTTTCAGTCCTTAGTACTCATCCTAATGGGTGGACGGATTTACGGAAAATTTTTCAAGAGATCTAGAGACCCACGTGGAGCACAGTCCCGGGGATAATTGATGGGTACTTCCTTAACAATTTGTATTTCGCTGGTTTACTTTTTTTTAAGGATTTAGGATTTATTGAATTACTGCCAGGATGTTAGGAATCGCGAGGTCGTGCAAAGTCCTCGGGCCACTGACCGTTCGCCCGACAGTCGATGAATTGGTATCCGATCGATGGAAGCCCTGGTGGGGTCAGGGTATCCAATTGGATCACGCCCTGCGCAGTCCGTTTGGTGTTCGGTATTAACGATACTTGGTGTCCAATCGTACGTCTTAACCCAGACGATGCTGGCTATTCCATCGACCGGGACCATAGGACCCATCTTCATCGCTGTCCGATCATGTCTATTGAAATGACTGCCCTGATCACGTCCAAGGAATTCTATATTGGTCCACTCTTCGGGATGGGCTTGCGGGTACACACTTAATGATCTAGGAAAAATCTGGAGAAATAAGGAGAAGTAAGGTGATACGGGAAGCTCGAGTCCGCGTTCGGCCACCGATCGCACGAGAGGAGAGATCGCCCAATTGGGTCGTGCCCTCAACAGATCATTGGGCATTCGTCATGACGATCGCTATCGCGGATGCCGACCAGATCAGGCGAGAAATTAACGGTGCTGGGTGCCGAAGGTGCCCGGTGCTACACTTTCGGATCCCGAGTACAGGTATCCAGGCCGCGTATCGTCGCCCTGGATCGTTCACCTAGAAGACAGGGCACCACGTCCGGCCAGGATTCGGCGATTACCATTTCGCGACGATAACGTCGAACGATCGCCAATCTTCGAGATTGACCGGGTCACGTCGTTTATCGGAGCTCATTGGGACGAGGGAAAAAAAGAAAGTGCACCTCATTGTCGATTTCGCCCTGAATCGAGGGTTCCATTCCTTCCGCCAAGAGGTTCGAGGACCTCTGGAATTTTTTTTCCTGATTTTTTTGATAACGACTCGAAGGTCGCCAACAGCCGAAGGCGCGAGGATCCGCGATTGGGACAGGTCGCGCGATCGCCAATTTTCGAGATTGACCGGGTCACGTGGTTTATCGGAGCTCATTGGGACGAGGGAAAAAAAGAAAGTGCACCTCATTGTCGATTTCGCCCTGAATCGAGGGTTCCGTTCCTTCCGTAAAGGGGTTCGAGGACCTCTGGAACTTTTTTTCCTGATTTTTTTGATAACGACTCGAAGGTCGCCAACAGCCGAAGGCGCGAGGATCCGCGATTAGGACAGGTCGCGCTTATGCCCCCGCACGCACTTAAGTACGCACGTACGATCGGCGAAGGCCCGCCGCTCGGCGGCGCTCGTTGCGCAACGCCATAGGAATCAATCATCGAGTTTATCGATCGGCGAGACGATCGATCGCGACGACTTGCGGCGACGCCAGCCGAGCGTGCAACAAATTGGACGTGACGCACGTTGCCCTCGCCCTCGCCGTCCGTTCCGAGTCGGGTTGGACCCTACTCGCACCTCCTTTTTTCATTTTTTTTTGCTTATTTTTCCATTTTTTCCTTTCTTTTCATCGGCAACGAGCAAGTGACCCCCTTAACGGCCCGACCTTTCGCGCCAGGTCGCGACTGACCGGGGTCTTTCGCGCTGGGATTTATTATAAATATTTAACTCGATATAGACTTTTATTCAGGGTATTTTCATTTTCAACCGTGCAGTTCCTTTAATCCGACAACGAACGAGACGTTTTCGAGAGGAGAGATCCTCCTGGCAGATTCCGACCCCCGGCCGACCCCTTTATCGATCATCGATTCCTCGTCGATGGCGTCCCTTATTTCTTATTGATTCCAGAGGAACGCGCTGCTCGATCCCAGCTCCAGGTGTCCGTCGACTCGAAAAAGTAGTTTCCCTCTCGAATCCATCCCCGCGGGCCCGTCGAGTTATCGAACGCGCATCGATCGTGTGCCGTCTTAGGTGCGTCGATCGGTCGATCGATCCACCGTCGACTGATCGACGGATCGATCCGGTCTTACCTCGACTCCCAGAACGCGTTTACCCGTTCTATGCCATACGATACGCGACGACCCGGGGCTAACATCGCGATCGCGATGATTTGCACCTCGCGAAAGACGGATCGATGATCGACGTCGCGATCTAAATCGGACGATTTTACGGCCACTGGGCGGCTCCGACTTCTCGCCGTGAGAAAGCACTCCGATATCGATAACCGGCACGATCGCGAGGAGACGTTTTGACACCCCAAGGGTAACACGTGTAATCACTGAATCCGAACCCCCGCGCAACGAATGATAAAGCCGGCGCAGTTAATCCCTCGTTACGCTAATTATCCGCGATTAGATAGCTCCGCTTGCGGTTGCGCGCAGGTGGGCTCCCTCGACCTGCCCGATCGAATCGCCGCAGGCGGTGCATTTCGGATTCCTTTGCACCTGAAAATACGATTCCCCTGCACCATGCCTTCCCCTGAGTGAAAAATGTCCTAACCAAAGGAAATTAATTGAAAGCGAAAAAATCATAATTACGTGTCACGGTGGAAACAATTCAGGTTTAAAAAAGTATCACAGTGCAAATTGTGCAAAATTGGTGCAACCCATTTCGTTGATAATAAAGGGTTAAAGATTTACTTGTCACAAGAATTCCCTTTTTTTTTTTCTAAGGTAGATTTTTTCCTTTGCAATTGATGTTTTCATCTGTAACAGGGTTACACGTATTAAAATTTCTTTGGTTTTCTCTTCGGGATCTTTTTTTACAATTCTTCGGGATGGGGGGTAGAAGTCTAAATCGTCGGCGGGGAAACACATCGCGTCGAGGTCGAGTACACCGTACGGGAGAAGCGGTGGTTATCCCGGCTCTTCGGGTACGAGCGCCGCTAGATCGGCGCCGGATAGGCACCGCTGGTAATCGCAAACCGGCGAAGGGCTAAGAGACCCGGCCCTCGACGCGAAAACGCCGAGCTTAGCATAAAGACGGACAATCAAATGCAAATAGCGCCGACATTCGTGGCGCCGCGAGCCACGGCGCGTCCTCGACGTAAACTCCGCCGCCCCGAAGAGCGGCCTGATGGCCGAGGATGGGATCGCACCCAGGAAACCATTCACCGATCCGATCCATGGATCTCTGAGCAATCCTCCGTTCGAGAGGGACCCGCGGGAGCGTTTAAAATCGATTAGCCATCCTTCGGCTTCTTCCGTTTTCTGGACCGATCGCGATGGAGGATTTCTTCCCTCGAGTGCGCTTTCCTCGAGGAGGGCATTTCTTCCGGTGATGCCTGAACACGGTCAAGCATAATTCGTCGAAAATGTATTTAGGAGACTATTCAGGAGGCCGTTAACGGTGCACGCGGTAGAAACGGTCTTTAGCGATTTTT